GCTTTCGTCCCTGAAAGACTGTAAAGACCATCGTAGGCATCATATAGTTACACGTGTAACCCTCGTAAAGCCCCAGGAAACAGCGGTCATTTAGCTGCTTCTTCTCACGCTTTCCTGCACCAAGTGTATACCTCGTTGGTAGCGTGACAAGCGAGTTCTTTGCCAAATCGGCAGAAGGCCAGCCTCCAGCTTTACAGCATGGACAAGACCCTACGCATTTCAAGATGCCTCTTTCTGAAATGAGAAATAGCAATGTGGAACTTGTGCCGAGTATATTTCTCGCGACTGCGCATCAGTGATCGAAATTCTGAAATTCCTTACAGATGGGTCTTTGAACGAAACAATCGGAACTGTTGATTGACTATTTTGTGAGTAGTCGGTTTGTCGCAAACATGTCGTCTATTTGAGATGATAGAGCATGCGTATCGGTGAATTTTGTGGTACAGATGATCAGAATCCTAATCACAATACGGCATTGTCGAAGAGTACTCGAATCCACTGCTTCTTCGACCTTAGTGAGAACTGTTCAGCCAAGACAGAGACATTGAAAAAATCACGCCTTAATTACTGCGCAAACGTGTGTCCCAACGCTGTCCGTTTGCAGAAGAAAAGAACCATTAGGCATGGGACTACGTGATGTGAATTTTGTGCCTGGAGGTTGACTGACCCTATATCTTGTTTAAGCATGGGTTCATCCCATTGCTAATCAGCCGCTCGTGGCCCAACGCTTCAACTACTAGCCAGCATTCCACGAGTTCGAACTTCTCAGAGACTCGTGAGATACGCACGGCTGATGATTCCCATGAAGGTTGAGGCAGTTGTACAATGGTTCTCGGCTTTTCGGCGTGGATCGACCTCGCTTTAACGACGGAATCTCCACAGAAAATTCATCGTCATCATCATCATCCGAATCATCATCATCATCATCATCATCCTCATCATCATTCGAATCATCATCATCATCATCATCATCATCATCATCAATCATCATCAGTCATCATCATCGTCATTGACAACATGACATCATGCTTCACTGCCGTACAAACATGACTCATTTGAAAGCCTTATTGTAAAGAAAAGAGTATAGATGGACGGGGAAGGGACCTAGTGCTGGCTCACTACAATCATTCCGAAGTGCCTATACCTCCAGACATTCACTCAGGCAATCTGGATAGAAACTGACAACAATAACGCCTCTGACATCGATTGGCAGCCATATCTTGTAGTGTCTCCAACCAGGTATAGTGAGGATCACGCGGTCCCCATCCTGAAAGGCGAGTAGCACCGACAGAACCCAGGCGTTTCGTGATCTTCTCAAGGAGTACTACATGTTCAACAATATATTGAAGTATTGGCAACTCAACTGTGTTAACTGGTTGCGAATGAGGTTGTGGCTGTTGACTGACCAACTCAACAGCTCGCTGGTGACGTCATCACGACTGTTGACGAAACATGTGCGAGCACATTGCCGAATCCGGTGGACGGATCAATAGCCAGCTGACCGGTGGACGAATAACCAGCTGATATACAACCAAGTACTATGTGTCCAAATTTCAAAGATGCTCTCTAATTATTATCTGTTTAGTTTGCCCGGGATTTGTAGCGGCATCTTTTGCTTCCCTCCTGGCAGATTGTGTGCTGTGAGGGTAATGGAGGCTACCCGGAGATTGGAATACCTCTCGTCCCTCTGGAGCTCGGCTATTCAGTTCTTGCTTGGAACCACCCGGGATTCGGGAGCAGCACCGTAAGTTCAATTAGTTTGGAAAACATTACTCTCCCCACTCAACAGCTGGACATCATTTTTCTGCCTTATGAACAAATGTAAGCTACGCAAGCTAGCTATAAGACCACTCGTCATTCACATGGTTTTTCTCCAGCGAACATGAAAAAATGCAGATGCGAGACTTGTTGTTATCACCGGCTTTGTAAATGATCACTTCTAAATGCATAAGGCTAAAGTTTCAAGAAGCGATGATGGTTGTGAGCTTGTCACTGAAATTGTCCGCTCCTCTTGACCCAAATGTAACTGCGGTTACCTTTGATCCTAAAGAGGGCAGCTTTAATGTAACCAAATTCACGTGAGTGTTACCCAGCGGGTGGCGAGGTGACTGAGTGGTTAGAGCGTGAATTGGCCGGTCGGATAGTCCGTGGTTCGAACCCGACCTCTGCCTCTCGACTTCTCCTGTCTAGAACTGGGTAACCTGGCAGTATCCCAGCCCTCGTGCTTCCTTCGGGTGGCATGGCAGATAGGCACCGAAAGGGTGTTACAGCTGGATGTATTCAGCGGGTCAATAGTTCTCTTGATCATGGTTAGTTCATGGTATTGATCATGTTTAACAGACGATTACTGTCGTGTTGAGCAGTGAATAGGACGTTGGCTTTTAGTGGAACAGAATATAATGGTTGTTAAATGGTTGCACACAATAAAAATATTGCAAATGAAGAGTTGACTAGTCCGTTGGGTTTTTCACATGCTCCAGTTCTTATGCGACAAAGAGTAGCAGAGGACAGGAGTGAACGATGTTGCCGCAGTCGACTTGATGTTTGGTAACTTCCAAGCTGTAGGGAGAGATCGGATAAAGATGAATTATTCAGGAGCCTTAGTAGGGCTTTCCAGGTGGGAGCGATTGGCATTGTAGTGAGATATTAGTTGTTCAGTTCTATTAATTGCTTCTAGATCAGGTGGTTGTTGACCTGTTCGTCCAGCTTGGCAGTTTTACTGGCAAACGTTTCGTCACTAATCGTGAAAACGCCATCAGTGCGCGGTTACTCCCCCTTTACCTGCTTGCGTCCATATAGTTTAGAAAAGCATACTGCTCTTTGTGATTGGCTGATTGATGGATAGCTTTATATTGTTGGTAGTGTGAGGAGATTTGGGATTTTTGTTATGATCCTCATTTCTTGCATTCCCTGTATGAATCCCCTTAAGTAGGTTTGGTCGCTGTTCTGACTGCTCCGTCCACGTCTGTGTTGCGTTTTTGGTATATCTTCCTCCTTTTTGATGAGTTATTCTGATACCACCAAAAAGTATATAAAAGCAAACAGATAAAAAGAAAGTACCCACACAAGCCGCGCTGATGATGCCCCCCCACGATTGGTGGCGAAACGTTTTCAAGAAATTTTTTTTAGTTCTGTGGGAACACTGCGAAAATAAGGTTGCTGACTTAGGTGGGTTATTTAGTCCAGTGCGTTGGTGATACACGGCCACTCTCGACAAGGTATCATACCGATAATTATAACAATATAGACAGAGAAATGGGCATTTTACATCATTTTATTAGCTACCACATATAGTAACTAGTTAATGTAATCCAGTGGGGGATTTAAGAGTCGGTCCTACTGGATGCTTCATACTAAAAAAAGCAAATTCCGCTTTTCGATCACCACACCCAAATTTGATAAGCTTTTCAATCTTCAGGCCTCTTGGAGGATCTCGAGGGAGCTGGCATTACATACTTTGACTACCGTGTCTCCATAAGTGTTCAGAACACCATAAATCCAATCATCTCTCGAGGATTTCGACCGTCAGATAGACTTGGTCTGAGCATGGTAGACATTCTGTAGTACCGCCTACTTTAAAAACTTTTCACGCAGAACCCAGGTGGCTAACTGGAAATCTGTCCTCTCTTACTTGTGACACAGCAACCGATCAAGGTGACTCGGTAGTGACTGTTTTTACTGCCAAGCTACCCTGCAGACCTGGTGCGTTAGAGACTACCTGAAAGATGCAGGCGTAGACAGCCTCTTCCCTTTGGAACTATAAAGGTCTTTTGTATGATTCATATCTCCTGTTATTCTGCTCGCTTTATATTGGAAGAACTTCCACCCAGCTGGGACCATAAAACAAGGATAGCAAGACCGCAACGCTACCAAAAACAAACTGGAAAACAGATCAACAACGGTTCTGGATACGCCGCGTAGATTTTGAGAACAGTCGTGTGCCTCAAAAACAATTTTACTTGGAAGATCTTGTTACTACCTAAGTTGGTGAACGTGTGTTGTCGGATTGGGGAGCGATAGTGTCATGAATTACTCGACAGCTCATGGGTGCTGATCGTAGAATTCCAGTGAGAACACGGTGATTTCTCGGTTTAGATCACGCGTTGGAATTTGTTGGGGATTTCAACTCCTGGGGGGGGGGGCGAACTACTGCGAAATTCTGTCCGCTCAGTTAGGAGTAGAATATGAGATTTTGTCATCCTTGATATTGTCTTAAACTTTTGCTAAGCGGATATGATTTCCCTTATTCCATTTATTCATTAAGCAATCAAACTTTATCGCTCAGTTTACAGCACCATGGTATAACTCATATGGATGCGCTTGTTAACTTTTTATGGTCTCTTTTCTGCCCAACAGACAGGCAGACTGCAATAGTCTGTTCATAGTAGACAAAAGCGCAGTCTGAGTGAGTTCGTTGTACGGAGAGTGGAGGGTATGTGTCTTTCTTGTTGAGTAACTTTCACGTGGGTTTTGGGCAACTAGGTGAACGCTTCACAAAGTCTTGCGCATCTGATAGGATATCAACGTATTCTCGTCGTATTCATACTCATGCTGCCAGAAGACGACGAAGAATCACCGACGCCAGAAGTCATGTGTTTGCGAAATTCACTGCGAATGCCCTTTTTGAAAATGCATACCATTATCGGCTCACTTCAATTGTCCGGGATGGTCTCTTCCAGGTAGACACGAAAAGGCTGAACAGGCGCTGACTGGGGAATTCACCGCCATCCTTGAACACAGTGGGTGCAAGGTCGTCAGGACCAGCATTACGATGGCGCTTCACTAGAGACACACATTGGGATACTTTTGAGGCTTAAGGGGGTTCCATATTCACAATTCACCTTTCTGCCGGCAGTCCGTAAATGAGGCAGTAGGTGGCTGCAGCAGGGGTTCGCAGCCGGAACCTGACAGACAGCGATGAGGCAGTCGATCCAATTACCTTACTTGCGTGCTGTGTCCTTGTTTCTTCCAGACCGCTTAAACCAATGCAGAGGGAATCCAGCGTACAAGCAAGAGCCACTTATTTTCCTATTTCCCTCAGTGTGTGGACTTTAAAGGTAGCTAAGTGGACCAACTTTTGACGTCCGAAAACAAACCACGAAGTGCTCAGGGTTGTCACTGAAGTCGAACCTACAGAAGCTGCAGCTCAGTGTAATGCGTCGTCAACAAAGCGTTCAGTTAGACTGCTGCGACCTGTGGGGAGAGTATTCAACTTTAGATGGGGTAATATAGGAGTCGTCTGACATGTTCCAACCCCCAACCTGGAGCGCCGGGAGACTGTGTTAGTCAGACCTCTAACCATTGAACACCCCAGTATGAGAGAATCTGTAAGCGTCGCACGGACACCACGGTATAACTCCAAGGATCAGGAAACACACAAACAGTCAGACTGCGGTATGGTCCAGACTCCTCGCCAAGGAAGCAATACAAGAACACAACTACACAACGTTACATATCACATTGTAAGGATGATTAAATTGGCTTACGGAACTGGAACTCCTTCAGTTTTCAGAAGGCTGTTTCAATTTGGTCAGTATAAATCAAGACCACAGTCAAGCTTGTCGCCAGGTATCCGCGGCAGTCAGTGTCGCGGAATGCGGACGCACGGTTAGGCAGACATTCTGCAAGGTCTTTCATACAAAGTGACGTTAGGTTTTCAGTCCAGCACTTTTAGCGGGGTCATGTTTTTTCTACGTAGGCCATAATCAATACCATTGGCCGGTTGAAAGTCTTACGCATGGTAAATGTTCGGTACCAGGTGTTGTTAGAACGAGAAATGGAGAGTGACAGACTGTTAAGTTCACTGACTGTATAACCCTCCGCACTTGGTCTTACCTTATTTACCCCGGCGTATCCACAAATGGTGATAGACCAGTTTGCCTGTTGGTGATCGAGTTGCTCGTCATGTTTCTTGATTTTGTTTCGAACGCTTCGTGGCCTGTCGGATTGACGACGTCGGTGAGTTATTCTGTAGAGACACAGACCATGCGAGATGATTCTCGGATGCATAATGCTCCATAAAATTTCAAATCACTAACACGTTAAACCGCATGCAATCTGCGTAACTCTACGGGTAGGAGAACGCCAACTCCGTCGGACAACCGAACGTTTGACAACCAGATCTGGTGATATGAATAACCGCAGCAGCAAGGTACCCTGTACAAATCAAAGCGGTTTGTCTTCCAATCAGAACATAGACCAACGACCCAGTCAGCAGGACATCCCATTCAAACAGCCATTTATAATCGAAACTCATCTCCTTTGAATGGAATTGCATAAACACACATACCACTATTCAGCGCACCGACCCCCTACTAGCCGACGCTGCCACCCCAACTGATGATCTAACGTTTGAGCCAAATTTGACGGGCTCAATAAACAGTCGTATCACTAAGTGAGCAACCAACACACCCCTCCATATCTCAACTAGTCTGTTGCCGCGAAAGGAAAACAGGTGGTCCTATATCCATTTCGCACAAGTATCGTTCCAAGGCCGCGAACAAGCCACACGGCGAAGGAATGGATTTCTTAGCGCATGCTATTTCCTGTTTCACTTCCTTTACAGGGTATGCCATTCCCAAAGCAAGAGTGCAATGCCATGGAAGCCGTTCTTTTATTTGCCATACATCACCTGAAGTTCAAATGGAATGAAATCTACTTGTATGGCTGGTCAATCGGTGGCTACACTGCCAGTTGGGCAGCTATGAATTACCCGTCTGTGGGTGGCCTGGTGAGAAGTTTTGCCTACTTGCAGTTTATCAGTAGTATAATCTAAATTCCATTTTCCATCCTTCAGGGACCCTATTGCATCTGAAATTTTGTTCCAGTTGTTCGAATACCATCAACCCCGTACGCCAATCATCACTCTTGAATCGACACTTTCTTGCTGACACCTTAGTCCCGCTTCTCCAACTGCAATTCAAAGACCCGTTACGGGCTTTCCCACGCCTTTTAGTTTACGTAAAGCGGCTCTGTTCCTTTTGGACTACGGATCGTACCCGATAACCGCTATCCCCTATACCAAGACAGTAAAACATGTGGCGATTTGTTAACGCTTCAGTTACTTTCGCCAGCCACCGCGTAAAACATTACATTCCTGGTAGACTGGCATAGTAACAACGATTAAAAAAAGACGGGTAAACAGTTTGGAAAAATTAAGGCCAATCCAGAGGAGGAAGTGCCCTGGACGCATACACGGACGCTTGCTCATATAATGATAGTTGAGTGAACCGGATCAGGAGTAAAGACGTCTCACACTACTCATATAGCTACTGAAAACGCTGTGACAGCCCACGACCGTTTTCACTTTTTTTTGAGCTCATAAGATAGCAGTCTCCGGGTTTCCGTCAATCTTGTGCTCTGCTCAAGCAAAAATTGCACGAAATTCGACAAGCACACTCACCTACCCACCACTTTGGGCTCTATGGGAGACTCACCTTGAACCCGACTGAGTCTCCCGTTTATGATGTTCTTCAACCGAATGTGCTTCACCAGACCTCCTCATGCTTCAGTTGGTACGATATTTGAGGTATCGCAGTACATTGTATAGACGTCATACGATACTCATAAGGTTGCTGAAGATCCTTCGATCCGAATGTGCTTCACCAGACCTCCTCAGTTGGTACGATATTTGAGGTATCGCAGTACATTGTATAGACGTCATACGATACTCATAAGGTTGCTGAAGATCCTTCGATAGCCCACGACTGGCTTTGACATTCAGTGTATCCACTGATAGTCACCTACCTGAGTTCCCGAATGTTTGGTTGGGGTCGGCTGATTGACCTCTGGCTACTAGGTGCTGAGCTATCGATGAGGTTGCTTCGCGTTTTTTGCTGTTACACGGGTTGGCCCTGTGACATAACGTGTCTCAAGTACTCAACTATTTGTTCGACCGTTCTTTGTGGGTGATCATCGATCCGAAACCTAATGAGATATCGTTTGACTTTACGGACTTTTTAGGACTAACTGAATGAAAACGCAACATTCTGACGGTCTCGTGGACTATTTCAGAGGCTTCCACATTCCACATTTATCAGTTGCGTTTTTCAGCACCACTTGGCCTCTAAAAAGACCAAAAAGCTGTTTGAGGAAGCTGTATTTAGTCCCCTGCGGTCTTCCTAGTTCCCCTCAAGGATAGGCATTTGAATGTTTCGTAATGAAACGCTTTTGATGCGGTGTAGATTTTTTGTGAGACAAACGCTCGCGCGATACAAATGTAAACAGTAGACGCTGGCGGAAGCCCTACCACATATTTGGACATGGAGCTTTGTAACAATGTGGTGGTCACCCTTTTGACGGGACGAAACAATACATGGTCACGCTGTGTGATTATTATTGTGTTCCGCGTCTGGACAGCGTTCAGTTTTGCGGAAGATGTTTAGCGATTCGGAGGAATCAAGACCACCCGTGCAGTCTGCTCCATGCTTGGGACTTTTTCCGCAACCCTTTTGTTAATTTTTGCCGATGCTGTCACCGCTGAACAGACACCATGGGGGACCGTGAATTCCAGAATCGGAATGACACTTGGAGTAGGGTTAGTGGGTCTGGAGCGAGATGGCTCAAGTGGTTAGAGCGCGAATTTGCTGACCGGAAGGTCCTTGGTTCGAACCCGACCGCTGCCTCTCAACTTCCCTCTCTAGGCTTGGGCAAGCTGGCAGCATCCCAGCCCTCGTGCTTCCTTCGGGTATCATGGCAGCTAGACACCGGAAGGGTGTTACAGCTGAGCGATTTATTTGTTAGTTACTGGGTCATGCAGATAGCGTTCCTTTAATTTGACGATTATCAGTTCACTCGAAATAGCATGCAGGAACGGACTCTTTGTCGTGCCATGCCTTGTCTAATTTCATAGTACAAGGTCCTGACCCAGGTTTTCCTTTCGCCCCTCGGTGAATTTCAAAGATAAGGAGTTCACTGGTCGATTCAGCGATCCGTAGCTCAAACACACCTCGACTTTTTGATTGTTTCTGTCTAGGCTTGGATGACCCTACAGTGCCTCAACCCTCCTACTCCCTTCGGAGTACATGGCACCTATCAACCGAAAGGGTGATGAGCGATTTCATTTCTTACTTAATCATCCTTGCAGCCACTAATTCTGTTTTGTAGATGGAATAAATGAATGCGTTCTCGACATATGAGGTGTATTGGCCAATCACATTAATTGTTGCACCAGAAACCACTTGTAATGAGTGCCCAAGAGCTCTTTATGAGGTTGCGGATCAGTTGCTTCATGTGTGTCGGTAGCAACCATTCAGCTGTGATGCCTCTCTGGCGCATAGGTGCCATTCAATTCGGAGGAAGCGCGAGGGCTTGGATATCGCGGTGTTACCCAAGCCTAGACAGGAGTAATAAAAAAGATAGGGTTGTATTCGAATCATGAACCTTCCTATCAGTATCTTCGCACATCGGTCTTCGGGCTAACTCGTGTTCATTGAGTTGTTTTGGTTGAGCCGTGCTCAGCCACTGTCTATCAAAGGAACCATTGTTTCTGTTCACAAACTCTTGTCGGTAACAGGGGACAAGCTACAAAACGAAGCTGTTCAAAGTTTGTCAACGTTGCATGGAATCTTCACGTGATCCTCCATGAAGCTGATTGAAAACCTCACAGGATATGGCACTGCCGAGTATCTGTCTGTCTGTGCCGCGCTTTTGCTAAGGTTTTTAAAAAATGCTTACTCAACGTCTCTGATAGCGCCCGACTCCAAATTAATACTCAGATTTAGTCGTTTCAATGTTCCTCGGTGGTACGGACACTGTGTCCTTAATAGTTTTCCTTGCCCTCTACAGTTGTTTCCACTTATTTACTAGGATGTCTCTTTTACTTTTGTGTTACTGAGGTACCAGTGTTTACCATTGGTCGCGTTGGTCGCTGTAGAGAGGTTGAACCGTACTTTCGTTGATGGGTGGAAACGGGACATACTCCTCCACTCCATGACATTTCGTCCGAATCCGACCGCCGGTAGATCGAAAGGTGCCCAATTCTACTCATCACATGTGGACCACGGAGCTCAAGCGCTTTTAGGCTGGCGGTAGAAATCACAGCTGTTTCTGCTCTCCGACGGTTCCTACCCAAAAAGACCTTCCGGTCTTCGTTATTATCACGCCTTAGTTATTCCATGGGGCGAGAGAATACTCACTTGACTTTAGGATGGCGGTTGTACATCATGTTCAAGTTAGGGTTTTTGACATTGCTGATCAAGAGCTGCGAAATCTCTGTTGGACCAAAGTGTTTGTCGGACTACTTGTTATCTACGAGCCTCCAAAAAGCACCTTTCGTACGAAAAATCGATTTGATAAGGCAAATTCGATGTAAAAAAAATCTAGTGTTAGTTCATTCACCCACAGTCGCTCCCTACTTGAGTCTAATCTTTATGCCTACTCCAGAAAATGCATTTTGTGCGCTCCGATCTATTGTGACAACATTCCACTCTGTTGTGTAGATTTTGGATGCCACGTTCGATGATCTGGATGAATTGGCTCGACGGACGGTTCCAGATTGTTTGTGTAAGTAACGCCTCGTTTTCCAACAACTCACTGATATTTCGTACCTCCCCGAAACCCTGTAGCTCCTTATCTGCCCTCATTTCTCCCTCAATAGATCCGTTGGTCTTGGCAACAGTGAAGCAAACACTTGATTTAAACAATTCGGCTCAACTGATAGCGTAAGTCTGTCTTGTTTCATGGGCCTTTTGTACCTACTTCTCGAGTTCATTGCTGGAATGGGTTCTGATCTGATTTACTTTGTGACCGGTCGGGACCATTTACTGCGCATCAGCCATTCAGCCTTTCTGGCTAACAGTCGGAGTACTTTGTTCTGTTAATGAGCTCAGCTTCAACGCTGTGTGTGATCATTTTAAACTGCGGATGCTAACCAAACTATTGATAAGAGGATGAACGACCTTCGCGGAGGAACACGAGATAAACGGTTACAAGCCATTGGACACGAAAGTAAATGTCTCATCTGTGCAGAGCTTCTGAAAGGGGAACATTCTCAAGCGTCCTCTTGAACTTTCCTGGACGTTATTTGAATGTTAAACAATACAGATAAGCACTGAAAAGCGGTCCGATAATTTCCGTACCAACCCTCTCATTTTATCAAATTTGGGGATGGATATTGGACACTAGACCGGACACTACTTGCATGTTTCATAAGTAGTACACACTCACACTTATATCGTTAGAATCATGTGACTGGGATCAAAAATAATTTTTAAATATCCATTCTGAAATGGTTGCAACCGGTGTAAGGTGTCTCAGCCGCAATGGAGTTCAAACTCCAAGATCGCAATAAAAAAAGTAGCATCCGTACGACTGACTGCGTTGAATCCTGGTGTCAAGACAACTAGAGTGGCATGCACAGTCTACCAGACTCGTGCATTATTGGACAGAAACTTTCAAACAACCAAAATGGGCTAATTTTTAGGACTAACTGACAGTCTTCATCAAAAGTAGTCAACACGTGGACTTTTAAAGAAAAAATTTGCCGAAATGTCGATCCTTTTGTGTTGGATTTTGAGACGAGCCTTGAGAACGGGAGGGCGGTGGGTGGGAAGAACCCAACGGGACAGCGATCTCAAGCACGTATGCGTGCAATCAGAACGCAGGTCGGTTTTCGTATTGTCACTAGGCTCAGAACGTCCACGAGAATGCTGTAGCTCAGGTTGCAGTCGCTCGACTGCGGCCAGTCCCTTTGAGGCCAGTACCCAGGCTTGCCCTTTTGAAGGGCCGGTGCACATGGCAGTTACTGTGGCGTGATCAAGCCATTGTGGCTTTGCTCTGCCTTAGACCTGACTGTGGCGTCCGCGATACTGACACCTATAGCAAAACTGCCGCTGAACGTTTCGCAGCCGACCTTGGTGGCTGCTGTCGTTCCGGTCTAAGGTAAATTACGCTGTCCTGGGCGCAGTGTATGGCGCAGGGTCATCTGACCGCTATTTGGCTCTAATTCACACTTATCAAAGCGAACAGCGTCTACATCAGGATTGTGAATTTACCCTCAACTGTTCGGTTTGTTGTGCGTGTAACCGTTTTCAACAGTTACATTAATTAAGCTCTTCAGCGTGTAGGTGGGAATTTCCATCGGATTTGGGACTCATTATTGACAGCCATAAACCACTAATACATGGTGGCTTTCAACCTCCACACTTGATTACTTATAGGCTGAGATACTGCTACGGCACCCAAATCCAGTCAGGCGGTTGATTAAGGTGTGAAACCAAAGCACTTGGCTGAGAAGCCTGACTGCAAGGAGCAGTGGTTGGCCCAAGGTGTAACAAACATGTCGCCTCGACGCAGAGGGTCCGGAGTATGTTTGTCAAGCCTCTATCCATTTAGCGACCTGATAGGTGAGACTTTGTGGGTCTTGAATGGGCATCTTCCAGTACAGCCCAACGAGCTGGTGAGGTACGCAAACCGTCATAATGCCGTTAGTGGATGTTGCGTCAACTCAATGAATACTGCTATGTATGCGACCGAGTCCGCTGTCTACATTACACATCGTGCGTGAATTTCACGGCACGCAGATACGAACTGCTTGCATGAACGTATTGTTGGTTGCTGACCAGTTGGCTGTTGATCTGTTCACCGAGGTTGGTAATTAACTTGAAAACGTTTCGTCACCAAACGAGGGGGGTTTTCAGCGCTGATGGGTTCCAGCTGACCGTAACTTGAAAGTCCCTTTTTATCAGAGGTCTATTGGAGAGTTCGACCAAACTACAAGTTTCAACCCACCTGTGTACGAACTTGCTATCCATTTTGATGTATTTACCAGTAGACTAGGCGCTACATCAAGCATGCTTTTAAGCCCGCTTTGTTATGTCCTCTACTGATCAGTCAATCAACCTTGTCAATTACACACGGAATTTGGCAAGACAAATAGCCTTGAGGAAATTGTACTGCAGCAACTGAACAGCCAATATCGTGATTCAAAAGAATCAAGAGTGGAATGAAACAAAACAGCCCAGTGAAAGGCTGGAATAGAGAGAGAGAGAGAAAGTTGAGCATTGAAACATAGGTTATAGTCAACAATGTGAATGTGTCTGTTAGAAGGCAGTCCTCCTAACACGCTTACAAAGCGAAATCGTTGCGTTAGGACGTACCCTTTCAAGTCGAGCTTGGTTCATCGACTGCTCGGGCGAGTTTGGAGTATTCCTTTTTGTCATCTTTTTTTGGAATTTTATGCGGGCATGTCATGCCGTCAGGTGGATCTAGTCTTTCCTGACTGCAGAATAATTTCCTCCGTCCTCACATCCTATACGTTTTCTTCTATCTTTGTGATTGTTTGTCTCGCTTCGTATTTTTTCTGCAGTTATAATGGCCCCGTACGGATTATACGTCGTTCTGACGACGAAATAATTAGCACTTCGTAAGTTTCCACATTTTCTGTTCTAAACGTCGCAGTTTATTAGATCGGTCTGTGTAGCACTAATCGATACCATCCTGTTGACTACCAAAGGTAGAATCTGACTGTCCTACTTTAGTTGTCATCGACAAAGCCGCTGCCTATAGGAAATCTCTGTGTTTGATCATCGGGCGAGATGGCTCAGTGGTTAGAGGGCGAATTCACTGATCGGATCGTCCGTAGTTCGAATCCGACTTCTGCCTCTCTACTTCGCCTGTTTAGGCTTGGGTAACCTGGCACGAGCCCAGCCCTCCGGGTGGCGTGGCAGCTGGGCACCGAAAGAGGGTTACAGCTGATCGACTGTATTATTATTACTGGTGCCTTCGGGGTGTTGTATGGGTCTGTTGGGAACATCAGATCAGTAATGCTTAACTCCACCAGGTGGTTTTCGCGAAAGTTAATTATTCCGCGATAGATAAGCTGGTCACACTGCATGGGTTACGCTGGTTAGGCCATATGATCCTCATGTCACAGGACAGTGTGTCCAGCGGAGACATCTTGGCCCAACCTTGTACCGGATGGAGACGCCCCAGGGGAGGTTAGCCCATGGCCTGGCAACGAAGCATGAAAGCGCACACCAACAAACTCATTTGCGTTAAGGAATGCCATGAGGACCATGAGATGAGTCAAACCAGTGGCTAGTGGCCCCGACAGACATGGGTGGTTACGCAACCAATGGCGGTCTTGCATCAAAGCTATCGCCTTCACTGCGTAGTGCCTTGCCGTAGTGGACAAACGAAAGCATTCAACGTCAATGAACTGATTGGGCCATCGCCTTCAAGGCATGGCTCTCACCCCTTGTTCTACTTCGGTGAACGAAGCTGCAGCAGCTGGAACCACTGTACTTCGGTTGGACTCCCTAGTGGATGTGTGGCTAGAAGCCTGGAGGTGTGTTGACATTGGTTTTTGTTGGACTTTTGGAAAGGGGATCTGTGGTTCAGGCCATATGGGTCTAAGTGCGTGAACAAGGTTCTTTGGTGAGCCAACTGTAGGTTGACCGTTGTACGTAAACGCTGTCACGAGATCTTGGAGTTGTGCGCGGGTAGACGGCAAAAAAACATCTAAAGGATGTGCACTTACTGTCCAAATGCTAGTTTCAAGCACTTGGGACCGGGTCGTCGTATCACCGGCTTTATTTTATGTCTGGTCCATTCGAAGCCCGGCGTTATCCTTCAATCCACTTGAACCCTTGCCGTCATCTACGTGAACCCACCATAACGGTTGCTATTCCCGTGTCGGTTTGAAATCATTTGCTGTCAAAATGTACGGTTCATTCTCAGCAATGCACTAGATGAACAAATAGACACCATACCAATGGGTTCTTCAGTAGGTCCCTTTCTGGCACTCGACATTCATTGGTGTGATGTGTCTGTGTCGACAATATACGGGCGAATTACGAGTGTCACCAAACAGACCGATGTTTTAATGAGTGGTACTAAAGATTTCAGCCGATTAATTTTTTTATCTGTGTAAAAGAGGCCAATAAATCATTTTTATTTATTTCCGCAATGTCTATCCGCATGTGAAATGTTTGTCTGTAGGAGACTGAGGTGCGGGAGAAATTTGGTTGTGGTGACTGACTGGGATGCAGAAATAACCCTTTGATAAGAAATGCCTTTCCGGAGAAATCCGCGTCAGATGTGACGTCGGCGGTACACAAGAAACAAACGTATATTCGACTGTTATTCAAAAGGGATACCACGTCAGCGTCGGTGCTAACTAAATCAGTTTGCAAAATTTTCTACGCTGTCAATTGTGGAGCGTCACGTGCATCCGAACGGCGCAGTACCAGTCCTCGACTCGTCCTTGTTCACTTGCGATTGTTCATCAATCGTACGACTCTTTCCAATCTCACCAATGAGTTTCCGTTTGCTAGGTTTCCCTCAGAGCAGGCTTTGACAATTAGGAAATGAAGTGGTGTGTTAGTCTCTGCTGGAGAAACTTAAAAATAGCGCTGGATAAGCTTGGTCAAACGCCTTAGTGTTCATATTGTCCGGTATGTTTCCTTCAACCATCTCAGACGATCCCTTGGAATGGCCGCTTTCTTACGTTTGCTGACTATGGAGCTTGAATCTCAAAAGAAAATTCTGATCGCTCATAAATTGCTGTTCTGGTTTGTAGAGGAGTGTGGTTAGTGGAACGCGAAATTCGATTATCAAGTGCACGTAGTACAGACAAGAAGATTCCGTCTGAACTCCACTCAAGCGTTTCTTTTCGTTCGCACATTTCGTTCCACATTTCAAGTCTAAATTGGCTGCGAAGTTCGATTAGCTTTAAAGCGCCAAAGCACTGTATACGAGTGTTGCTTTTAGGTGTGGCCAGTCAGGACAATGCGATGAAGTTCTTCAAATCCCGTAATTTCTCACTGTTGAAACAAGAAGCCAACTCTGCACTATTATCTTGATGGAACACACTACTCCTAAGGTTGCTGAACACTTAACGACTGCTTGCACTCCGCTGGTTCGAACTAAACCTCAGCATCTCGACTCCTCCTGTCTAGACAATATCTCAGCCCTCGTGCCTCCTGGTGGCATCATAGCCAAGCATCGAAAGGGTGTTACACCTAAACGATTGATTGGTTGATTTTGATTGCGCTAGGTTAGAACATAAGGTTGATACGAACTGGGGGACTGTGTCTTTCTGATGAGCCCTAAGAAGGGTGAAACCGGCCGCGGGCTGTCGGAATTTTCAGCAACCTTATAAGTTTTTTATTTCATAGAAAAGTAGTGCTCTATCTCGAATATCGTACCAACTGAAAAATGAGGCGACCTGTGTGCAGCACATTCAGTTGTAGAATATCATAAGCAAGAGATTCAGTCGAGCCTCTCGTGGAAACCAAATTAATTTGCAAATGAGTGTATTTGTCGAAAACAGTCCAATTTGGGTTCAAGAAGAACATAAGGTTGACGGAAACCCGGGGACTGCGCCTACCTGATGAGCCCCAAGAAGGGCGAAACTGGTTGTGGACTGTCGAAGAGTTTCCAGCAATCTTGTGAGTAGTTTCCTTTATGAATGTATACTGCGATATCTCGAATGTCGTGCCAACTAAAACATGAAGTGGCCTGTGTGTGCGGCACATTCTGTTGAGGAAGACTATTCTAAACGAGAGATTCAGCACCGGGATTTACCTGAGTGTCCCGTTAAAACCAAATTCATCTGCAAATGGGTGTATTTCGCATCTGCCACTATAGTTCCTTTGCCAGCCTATGAATACCGATGACACGCAGACTTACTTCTTTAGTCGTCTTTGGTCTGACGAAGTGGTCTGTTGTACTCTGACTGTATTTTTTCTATTTCACAGGGAGCCACCAAACAGGGCGAGTAACAGAGGTAACGTTCTACTCATCAAGCTGCTCAGACACAGGTATGTGTTGCAACTGAAAGGTCACAGACGTCCATTTGTTGAGTGTCTTCAGAGTTTGGAATCGTAGGTTAACTTTGCATTGCATTTTTGTTGGTTGTGTGACGTGAACGATTGACAAATTAACGGGAAGTGGGAAAAGATCCGGTGAATTTCGGAATGCTAGTCCCTCTCATGGACGACCTTGAAAAGGCCCAAAGATTTTTCATCGTTCAAACGAGTGGTTGTACTATGGAGGGATGAATAGCCTGACACTTGTGAGTGCCACATGTTCGTATCGTATTTGAGGAGTTGAGTGCTGTGTTTTAGACGAGAACACACATTTGCGAGTGAGTTTGTACCATCACGAGATATTGGCCGTACCAGCCGGCCTACCGGAGACATTCAACGCTAAATGTTGCGTCTGAATTCCACCCGTAGTTTTGGACACTCCTGACGATTGTCAGCACCCATCAACGATAGACCGGATTTCGGGGTCTCTCGATTTTCCAGAGGTTCGAAGCGAATCATGTCTTGTCGTTCATATTGCGTTTTCTTGGACTCCGTACTTCACAGTTGCCGAAATTCATTGCCCTTTAGATGGTTAGAGTGCGATTTTACCGACCGGAAGGTCCGTGGTTCGAATCCGACCTCTGCTCCTTGACTTCCTATCTAGGTTTCGGCAAACTGGCAGTATCCCGGCCCTCGTGCTTCCTTCGGGTGACATGGCAGCTAGGCACCGAAAGGGTGTTACAGCTGAACGATGGGTGATAGTCTAGATGAACACCCCGATCGATATGGGATCACCTCATGTGATTTCACCTGCGACTTCTGCTCTCGTCAATGCTAATCTGGTCTCCACTACGTCAATTAGTTCTCAGCCCTCAATCAGCTGTCATGATTGCATTTACTTCCTGTCCCCTCTCAAACGGTACTATTTTAAGTATTTTCTGATTTAATGATCACGTTGTTTACTGGTCTTTTGACCATCTAATTAAGATGCATGCCAAACAATTCGTATACTGTCATCGTTTGTATCAACGCTCCCCATCCGTCAGATTCCCCAATCTTATGGCTGCGGAAAACGAAGCACAATTAACACATTACTTGACACTGAGTGCTGAAGAACAAGGTGAGTGAGCTTATTTTTAGTCTTCTGTCGATTTCCTACAATTTGTAGCATTTTTGCGAAAAAAGTAGGTAGAGTGAAGACCAAAGTATCCTCCAGTGTGCGAGTGTATGTTGAATTCGTCAAGCAAAAGTGTTTGTCTGTTCGATTCCTCTAAAGACTCACCGGGTTGCTACGATAATTTTCTGAACAATTGTTAATCGGCATTCGTTACCAACGGTCGATACTACTGATGAGACGTACTTGTCAACTTCACCCGGCTACAAGGCAGAACTTCCAGCATCCCCTTCCTGTTTAAACCAACAATGAATGCTGTTCACAGCAACATCTCAAGGCGAGAAAGTTCCGGAAATTCTCGATTTTTCTACACGTGAAGTTGAGCCCTGTTTGCCACAATAAGCGAACGAAAAACTTTTTTGCCTCTACAGCCTGACATTTAAGCGTGGACAAAAACCGCTGCTGCACTAAGGCTAGACAGTTTCATCTGTCGATGGTCGAATTGTTCCTCACTAAGCTTGACAGTCACGTCGACGCAATGCTCCGCTCCGCTGCGCAACATCTCTCCCATACTGTCACTCCGACTGGTGATCAATCTTTTGCGGTAAAACTTCCAGACTCAGCGAACAACTCACCAGCAACTCACTCACTAAGCAACCTGAGCGAACAATATTCTTCTCAAAGTCGAAATTTCATGTGTGACCTTGTCTTCATTTCGGTCGCTAGATGAAGCGAAACAAACTGAGTTCTGTCCATCGTGAACAAGGCAAGCCATGCTGAGTGATAGTTACTACATGGTTGAACGCAGCTCACATCGTTTATTTAGCTGAATTTATGCTAGATTGGTTTCTTTTCGACGGGTTCCTTGTGGAACTGCACGACTTTTGTTGAAAAGTTCAAGGTTGTTGTTCTTAGTAATGCAATACAAAATGTACACACAAGGGACAGTGGGTGTTGATTATACAGTGCTCAAAACATGAAATGTACCGTTCTCCCAGTGCAAGGTGGTTGATGCTTGAAAACGCCTGTTGCAAGAACCAGAGGGGGGAGAATATCAAGCGGATTCGCCCAATTCGAATAAAAACGCATACAACCATGCGACATTCAATTTGCCCTCTTGAAATGGCGAGGCTGGATTTTCCCTTCGTTTTTGGACCGAATCTCCAAGTAAACAATCTGTCGAAGTTAGAACCATCTCTAGTGCTCCCGAGGCGATATTTGTACTATTCTCGACCCTCTACAGGATACGATCGTGTCCGATTTTTTCTCGCTTTTGGTATCTGTTTGCCATGACCTCTCTCATCACGTCGGTTGCTTCCGTTCGTAGTAGATTTTGTCCAAGAAAGCCGAAATCCTTGTGAAACCAACATTCTCTTGTGTTGTTCAGTGTACCACCACAAGTTATTCTGACCCAACGCATTCATTCGCTAGGCTGAACTGGGCAAAATACGCCCGTTTACAACTTTTCTTTGGGTGATGTGCTGCAGAAAGACCGGCTCATGTTTCATTTGGTGCGATATTTGAGATATCGTAGCATAGTATTTTGACGCTCAAATGTCGTACCAACTGAAACATCAGATCAGCTTTGTGCAGCACGTCCAGTTGTTGTCACGGGCAGCATTGCCAGCCAAATCCAGGACCTCAGCAGCGAGGTATTCCAGGACTGCGGCCAAGTAAACTGGGGCACCAGCACCAACGTGCTCGGCATAGTTGCCTTTGCGCAGCAGACGATGCACACGACCGACGGGGAACTGGAGACCCGCGCGTGACGACCTGGTCTTAGCCTTGACCCGAGTTTTATCGCCTTTGCCGCGACCACTCATGGTTTGTTGAGACGTTGAAGGAGAGGTAACGTGGACTGGAGAATATTGCGAACCAGCAAGGATTCACTTGATTCTTCCATGCATACCGGCTTTAGTTCGTTGGGTTCAGTTGGAACATGAGGTTTACGGAAACTCGACGACTGTGCCTACCTACTGAGCTCTAATAAGACACAAACCGTTCACAGGCTGTCAAAGAGTTCTCATAGACACTTTTGTAATGCATTACTCATAAGGTTGCTGAAAACTCTTCGACAGCCCACTACCGGTTTCGCCCTTCTTGGGGCTCATCAGCTAGGCGCAGTCCCCGAGTTTCCGCCAACCTTATGTTCTACTTGAAATCAAATTGCACGAAATTAGCGAAATACACTCATTTGCAGACTAATTTAGTTTTGCGAAAAACTTACCTGGAACCCAGTTGAATCTCTCGGTTCCGAGTGGTTCTTTCGCAAAACCAAATTAGTTTGCAAATGAGTGTATTTCGCTAAGTTCTCATTGACCTTGTGAGTAGTATGTTTCATCAAAAATAAAAACGAACTTAACGTTTCACAGTCACCTCCCAGATCATTTCTATCATCAGGTAGTAATGGTTTGGACTGATACGAAAAGCAGACGAGTTCCAATGAATTCCCAATGTGGGTTCGGCATTGTGAGCGCATGTGCTCGACCTATTGGATCTCAGCCGATGTTTGGTCACGGAAACCGATAGTGGTGTCTCCAGTGTACCCATCGCTAAACACCATCTCCCTTATTGAAAGTAGCTTGGGTGAGATTCTCCAACGTACTCGCTCATCATGTGGACAGCTGCCTGCAACATGAGCCATTGAATCTATGCAACGTCGAACGCGTGTCATGAGTCTACACTTAGCTGAGTCCATGCAAACAAATGAGCTCAGTGGATTACTACAGTATGCACTCACACAAACGGAATGCATGATTTCATCCGTGAATTCCAACCAAGTCTGGAAATCTTGAGCAGAACTCAACCATCGAGTCTACTCAGCTACGATGGCACACACATTCTCCGGTCAGGATTCGAGCCACAAATGGGCTGAAGCACTAGAAGAGATCAACACACATCTAAGCTGCGTCAACCGAGGTGTTGAAGCTAGCATCCCCGGTAGATTTGAACTTGAACTTGCTGTAAACCTTAGCAGACACAGTGGCCAGACCTCAAACAGGTTTCTAAAAAATGACGAATCACAACGTGCACAGCAGCAAACAGGGGCAACCTAACACACACACACACACACACAGAGAGAGAGAGAGAGAGATCTCACGAACATACCAATCAGAAGATACGTTCACCGACTGAAATAACGCTGTACGTGGTCCGCATTCAAATGACAGCAGAAAATTCTCGAAACGTCGAACTGCAGTACCTTATTTCACTGTAAACTTCCCATATTGTACACCACAAGGCGTTCAGTTTGTTTGATAAATATCTGGTGCCAAGCTGGACTCAGAACTCCTCTATTTCCTTTTATATTAGTTATTTCGTTGAAACCTTGCACTTTTTTTGTATACCTGTTTGTGATCTTTTTTATCCTTGTTCAAGGTAATCTGTGCCAGAAATGCACTTTACCGACACACTAAAAAGAATCAACAGCGTGGTCACCATTGACATCAGCTGATACCCAAGGCGTCTCCTCCTTTTCAAACCCTCCTAAGTATGTGTTGTCCACCTCGCAGCTGGTATCCTTCTGAAGAACATGGTGGTAGACCCGACCTGGTCGATCAGTCTGTTCCCAAGTGAAGTGTCTGTCTTCAAACCAAACACACGCAACTTAGAATTATCTATTGTAGAATCTTTTGAGAATTCCTGGCGTTTAGCGAAATATATTTCTTGTTGACGTTGCCTTGGTAACAATCACGTTAAGTATTTTTCCTATTTTGCTGCTAGTATGTAAACAGTACGTTTTGTTCCCCATCCTCTAGCCCTGTTTGTAGAAGAAATGAACTGTTCTCCCGAGCAACATGCATCGTACATTTTGAATTTTTTGAAAACTGAAGCTCAGCGAGCTCGGGTGACGGACAATGAAGACACAACCAACCCCGGTCCCTACTCTGGTTTGTTTCCGTCTCAGCTGGGAAGTCAAATATCAGATCCAACAACCAAGTTTGCCATGCTGCTATATCTGGTACGTCTTGAATCTTTGTACCGTTTTTTTCAGGATCGTCAATGTACTCACCATGTGACAGATGCCGGCAAAACTATTCGTCCTGTCCTACAGCTGTACAGTGAGCGACCGACGGCTTGACCTCGTAGAGTTAGCTATTGTGGTCCCGTTCAACTTCTAGACTGGGAACCATCAATGAAAGAGACTAACAGTGGGTTGTGAGGTTGCTTTGGTAAGCTCATTGCGAACGACATCAAAACTCAAACAAGCTGAACGGGTGTCAGGTGTTGGGTCATCATATTTTTGGAATTGCATTCTGCATCGTTCAATGCAGTTTCGCTACCCTATGACTTTAAACTATGCTCCAGATTATTGTAGCATGCGACAGGCGAAGATAGAAAATACGTGGGACGAAACAAGACAGGAAGCAGAATGTAATAGGTTCTTACCCAAGAATAACCGAATGGATTCAACAGCACTACGGAATGCGTGATGTCTCCACACCTCGGTGATTCCTCAATCTCGTGAATCCCAGCGTGTCTAAAGCCGCCTTCTACACCTTTTCATGCTTCGACTGGAAGTCCTGCCTTATTCAATGGTCGCAATCCGTATCCGTAACCTGGATGCGGCGGAGTGGTCGGTCGCCAAGTACATGACGTAGTCAGCCTAGCCACCGGTGCAGTGAAATCAAAGTGCCATCTACCGCTAATTTTTTTCTTGCTAATTTAATGGTCGCACAAGCTGTGTTGCAGTGTTTCAAAGCCAAACGGAGCGAAACTGGATCTGATGCCGTTGCCAACATGTTGCCAGTCAGGAGTTGCCTAGTTTGAAAGGAAGCATAACGAGTTCTCGAAGTCACTAGCCATAGTAAGCAGTGTAACTGCCGCGGTCTCATCGTCACTGACACTGATGCTCCACCGCAGTTCTCGAAGCACTAGCCATAGTAAGCAGTGTAACTGCCGCGGTCTCCTCGTCACTGACACTGATGCTCCACCGCTGTACAAAGTTTACATGGCTATATTTACAGCCTTGGAATGAAGAGAAAAGAGTGAGTACGAGAGGGATCTGGTTCTGGCTTATCGCGGGCACTCTGAGGTGCCTGCAACTCCAAGCGCACAATCAGACAATGTTAGAGGAAACTTACATTGGCTAGCCTCCATTTCTTGCATTGTTTTCGGCCAAGTACAGACCCGGTGGGTGGGGAGGATTTCGTCCCGAGAACTCCATCCTGCCTGATGGACCGCATCAGCAACACCCAAGTTCTTCGTACGCTTCTACTGTCACCTCTCAGTTTGTACCACTCTGAAGGAAACTTGGAGGACAATACACGTCTCGGTAGATGATCTTTCAGCACACGGCTGAGCCACCGCAGCAGTTGATGTTGCTGGATGTACTCCTCACAACCGAATACATAATTTCCTCGTTACGAATTCGTTGACGCCACCCAGCAACACCTCTGAGGCATCAGTGTGTAGACTTCCATCACTGGTATTTTGCACTCCAAATAGGGAAACCTGTATTGGGCGCCGTGATGAAACCATTGTTTTCTTCTTTGAGGCACCGAACCAATGTCCGTTTTTTTATTCGTATCTCTTCGAACTACCCCAATGTCTGTACTTTTGATACGCAACTTCACTTATGTCCTGTTTCCTTATTTTCACAGGTTTCACGCTATTTCACTGAGGCACCGGGTACCCATTGTGCGCCATTGTCGTCCTCCTGTTTCGAGCTTCCCTGGTGGCCTGGCGAATGAGTCTGAGCCGATAGATACACTCTGACAAACCCCTCATTCCGTGCTGCTGTATGGTTAACTATCACAAACCTACTTCCTTGTGTGCCGGAAGCAGTGATCGCCTCGGCTTCGAGTCACATCTAGCCTCACAGTTATTTCAACTGGGGGGGGGGGGGGGATATGTTGGGTTCGCAATATCACCGAGATCCACTTACATACGCTTTGAAATCATTTTATAAAAAAAAACCTATGACAAGTCTAGCATAACTTTACTCGTTTTGATTTTACTCCAGGTTTTCTTTCGAATTGTTGTTTTTCGTTCTCTAGAGTCTATTATACCCTCAGTCTGAATCATTTTTTGTTCAATGAACTTCAGTGGAATTTGACGAATCACAGGTCGTACTTTAAAACCAAATCGACCTATCAGTACCATGTGCCATATTCTGTCTGTCATGACCTAGTCTAACAGCTGCGTTCGTTTTGTTTCCAAATTGAGGTTTGGACTGTGTGCACCCGTGTGAGAATTCAGGTTGAACACTGCGGGTGACAACTTCTGCGGAGGTTCGTGGCTGCGTTGTCACATCAGATTATCTATACCTTTGTAGATAGCCATCGTTCGTGTTCTGAGTTCAGCATGAGTTTCGGTCGGCCATTATAGATCGGTCTGAGTATGGTTTAGGGTAAAAAGGGACTATCGTTCAGCTGTAGCACCCTCCCGGTGCCTAGCTGCCATGCCACTCGATGGAAGCACGAGGGCTGGGATACTGCAAGGTTACCCAAGCCTAGACAGGGGAAGTCGAGAGGCATAGGTCGGGTTCGAACCACAAACCTTACGGTCAGTAAATTTGTGCTCTAACCACTTGGGCCATCTCGCCCCAAAGGAGACTATTACTGTCGTCGAGCCTGTTAACCGGATTCCTTCGGCCTTACTTTTCTAGTTCTCACGTGACTACAGGCTGTCATAACAGTTATTCTTGCAAACCATCAACCAGTTAGCCAGTTTCTCGACAGCATGCGAGTGTATTTGTCTGCAAAGTCTGGTGAAACAGAATAACTCAACTCTTATCAGTTTAGATCAGTTCAGCAACGAACCTAACCAGAATTTCTACTTTTAAATACTCACACCGACTGCTGTTCAGAGGTTCAGAGAATACCATCATCAGGTTCGATAATGTTGGTGTTCCATGTCAACTATACAACCTATTGATTTCTTGCATTGACCTGAAGTGAAGAAGTGCAGTTAGACAGCACGAATAGAAAGTGAGAGGCAACGTGGTGTGAACTGATCCCCCTCAAGAGAGATCATCCCGACTTAGGGCCACTTCACTCCAGTCCCATTGAATGGACATTTTCTGAAACACCACACTGAGCTTCTAAAAAAGATCGCTATGGGTGTTCTCGCGAAACGGTTTCCAGTCCCATCAAAGACCAGGATGCAAGGTTAGTGTCTGCAGTTCCCCTATATTTAGCCCGGTGACCAATCGCATTTTGCAAGAGTTTGCTTCCAGTGTACTTGAGGTCCCAAGACATCATCTTTATCAACATGAATTCTGTACTCTATATCAGCCCCTCAACGCGAGCCTTTGAAAGGGCCACAAACTAGCGTGCCTTGCAATCCTTGACTGAAGTGATCGAACATTTCCGTAATCAATTGGAATGTGAAAACCTGAAATTACTGGCGAAAAGTCGAACCCAACATAATAGAGGCATCGCAGCTAAGTCATATAACACATTCCTTCCATTCATGTGAAACTTTTCGGTTTTTTTATCTAGTTCAGTAGTCCTCAAGCTTATCAACATATCGCGCACAAATGTGCGTTACCATCAGCCCTGGTTTATACATGATAAATGTACAGCAGAGTCGTGCTTGTTCCATCCAGCGATCTGGAAGCTTCTCTCCACCATCTATTAGTTTTTCGTAAAAGTACTTGGTTAAGTCATTCACGAAGGCTTTTGGATCCTTTTCTGCGAATTGGCCGAAACAGCTTCTGCTTAGTCCCAACCACACTGGCCATCTGCTCTTTTCTGGATTTCTAGTTCAGCCATGACTCTGCCTACACACATATCACGTTTGAGATGTTGTTCGACCAGTCGTCTAACTGAACCCTTGGTGATAGATAGATCGTCTTGCGTCATTGTGACTACTCTGAGATCCAGGGACTCGGAAACACCACAAGCGAACTTCCAGGCGTCGCCTATAGCCGCCGTCATGTCAACCCAGTTACCCAAACTACTCCGAGATATAACCTATTGCAATGCACTGTACAGTGAACTTTCATAATTTATGGCTCACCAGGCTCTTCAACTAACCAATCAGAGACTGATTCCTGGATTTACCAGGAAAATCTGCACTGAATGAGGGTGTGATGTAAATCCGAAATGACCAATAATCGAGGACTCAACTGCCCCCTTTGGCAGACTGATTGCGATCTTGTTAGTTTGTTTCTAAGGTTGGTCAGTGATAGGGGAAGCTAGGTGGCACATTCGGTGCTGCTGTGAGATAATTGGTTATCAGAACAGTGTTCCAACTGACATTCACCACTATGTTTTGCTTTCACACTGAACTGCTGAACTGAGACGTCCCACCTGTTCACTGAAATCTCATGCTAATATAGTGATATTCCATCTCCTTTGGTGGAAGAGGATGGTCCGTTCTCGGTGAAGGTATCTCTCAATGAATAGCAGCTAAGGTCCGTTGTTGCATAAATGAACGCGACAAACAAGTGTTTCGGCTAGTTTGTATCACACACACACAAAGTCGGACGACACAGTGGCTGCTGCTTATACGTATCCTGCCAGAACTTGCAGCTTCACTTCGGATTATGTTGATATCGCCTCAATCCGCTGCAACAGACACAGGGTCAACCCAAGTTTGTAGCATCTAGCTACAGCCCCTGTCGTATCCATCGTCACTGTCGTTGACAGCAACAAAAGAGGAGAACACCGGTGCCCCATGGGCATATCACCATGTAAGCAAAGCTCTATGATGGGAGCAAGAAAGAAATAGGACAGGGAGGGGGGGGGAACGAAGCGAGCCTACCACAAACAGCCATACACCTTCAGCACTTTGTCAAACAATCTGGACACAACCTGACAGCATGAACACCAGTGACACCTCTTAGCCGACATTTTTTTCAGTGTCTTCACCCCATTAAAAGAAGGACCATGTGGACCACAGCCTGTCAAGCGAACAGCACCAAAGGCGCCCAAACGTCTCGTGCTATTCTTCACTGTTTCCTGTCATGTCAGGTTCTGTCCACCTCTATATTTCGGCCACTCCAAACTTGGCGCAGAAAGTGCTCGGCATACGGAACACATGACCTAGTCACCTTGCAGGGATGAAAACACTTCGAGTGAGGCACCAGTTCTTCATCAAAGCCCGTCTGCTGATCAACTTATTCCGCATTCTCTGGGTCCAAACGACTCCAGCTATTGGTATGAGACATCGGTGTCCAAAGACTCGTAGATGTCTCAGACGCTATTCCCGAAATGGCCAAGTGTTGCAGCCGTACAAAATACAGACCACACTGTGGTCTGATATCCCTTGAGACCCAGTGAGACGTCTTTCGGTGCCACACGTTGCGTCAATTGGCAAACCTAAGGTTTGCGGTCAAGATTCCTGGGTTCAGTTCGTCCGTCATACTGCCGTCAGAGTTTATGCAACTTCCAAGATACGTTTAGTGTTCCACAACTTGCCACTCATTGAATTCTTAGGGGCGCATTCAGAGATTGCACATCCCGCACCATGACTTTGTAATTTGTGGGCACAAAGCGCATGCCGAAGGAGTGGGTAATCTCGATAAACCCGCCCAAACTTCTCGTGATATTCTTCACTCTCTTCTGCCATGTCAGATTCTGTCCATCTCTATATTTCCGCCACTCCAAATTGGGCACAGAAAGTGGTCGGCTTATGTAACACATGACCTAGTCACCTTGCAGGGATGAAAACACTTCGAGTGAGGCACCAGTTCTTCATCAAAGCCCGTCTGCTGATCAACTTATTCCGCATTCTCTGGGTCCAAACGACTCCAGCTATTGGTATGAGACATCGGTGTCCAAAGACTCGTAGATGTCTCAGACGCTATTCCCGAAATGGCCAAGTGTTGCAGCCGTACAAAATACAGCCCACACTGTGCTGTGAGACCCAGTGAGACGTCTTTCGGTGCCACACGTTGCGTCAATTGGCAAACCTAAGGTTTGCGGTCAAGATTCCTGGGTTCAGTTCGTCCGTCATACTGCCGTCAGAGGTTATGCAACTTCCAAGATACGTTTAGTGTTCCACAACTTGCAACTCATTGAATTCTTAGGGGCGCATTCAAAGATTGCACATCCCGCAGCATGACTTTGTAATTTGTGGGCACAAAGCGCATGCCGAAGGAGTGGTTAATCTCGATAAACCTTTCTAGTATTGCTTGCACTTCCCGTTTCTCTTCAAAAATGTCTTCGTATTTCGGTCTCAGTCGGACAGATCTGAGCACCGATTTTGGAGACCCTCCAATATTTACCTCATTATCTTCTGAGTAACGAGATTAAACAAAAGTGAAGTGAGAAAGACCATCCTTGTCGGATATCGTTTCGCGCAGGAAAACTTTTGAAGAGCTCTTTATGCACTCGCGTGCCATCTTAAGCTTAACAAGTATATCTTACTATCATATTTACAGCAAGCGGCGATCGATGGAATGGTACACGCAAAACAGCCTGCTGGCCCGTGTACTTAAGTGTTCTCAAGTTGAAGACTATGCTAAAACTGGGAGAACGAAGCCTGAATATCGGACGTACCGCAGTAGATATAACTGGCGTCGCGTAATGTGTCAATTCCCCAGGTGTCAACTTCTGGTGACTCTCAAGTGGGACAGGACGGGAGTTAGAAGCTAGCAATCAATAAAGATGGTAGGTGTCAGCAGTCGCGGGTCTTTGCTCATCCGCCTTGTTGTGTGCAGAAAACAAAGCGACCCGTTGGCTTTCACCATGCGACGGTTGATTTGGCATGAATGTTCTTTTGTTCGTAAAAAAAACTGTTCAGCTGTGGCACCCTTTCGGTGCCAAGCTGCCATGCCACCCGAAGGTTGCACGAGGGCTGGGATAGAAGCAGGTTGCCCAAGCCTAGACGGAGGAAGTCGAGAGGCACACGCCGGTTTCGAACCACAGACCTTCCGGTCAGTGAGTTCGCATTCTAACCACTTGGACTGTTGTAGCTGATGATTTGCCAATCTGTGGTATCTGCTGCCGACCCGCTCCAGCGCCTAGTGTCGGAGAAAAAAAGACAAAAGGGAACACAACAGGAATATTCCGAACAAGCGAGTACGACAAGTACAACGGTCTCAATTTATTTATTGGAAGGTCACTGTCTGAACTTAGTTCAATGCTGACGCACACGGTCTGGCTTTGGTACGAGGCTGTGACGGGCTGCATATTGCGGG